TCCCGAGGGCCGGGCTCGCTACGGCCCTCGTTCGAAGTCTCTGCGCCGGTGTGGCGAAGCCGGCCGCCAGAGGCCCGAGCGGTGTCCCGAGAGCTGCGTCTGAGGGGGGCAGCGTCGGGGGGGACGCGGCTCGGCTGAAGTCGGGCGTGTCCCTCTGCAGGAGGGATGTTCAAGAATGGTCAAAGGAAAGTCTGGGGAGGATGCTGGGATTGTTTTTTGCGGGCAATGTGTATATCCATATCCAGTGCGTCTTGGACTTTCTTGGAAGGGGCGCCGCAAGGCCGAGGCGCACTGGATATGGATAAAAATTGAGCCTTTTGGAGGCAGATCATAATCCATATCCAGTGCGCCTCATGCTTCTTGGGAAGAGTGTCCGAAACTCCAAGACGCACTGGATGTGGATAAAGACATTGCCCGCATTTTTGAGCATGTGTTTCGGGCCGGGCGAAAGGGGGGGATTGGGAAAGGGGGGGTTACGAAATTTGCTGCATGCAGCTGGTTTCGGCCTCGCCGAGGGGCCCATTCCTCGATACATCTCCGCCTCCGGCGCCGGGAGGCGCCGGGAAAATCAGCTACGCGAGCTGATTCTCAAACCCCCCCTTTGCTATCCCCCCCTTTCGCCCGACCCGAGTGTTGAATGTGATTTGACCCTTTTTGTTCGTCCAAGGTCCCCTTTGCAGGAGGACGTGCCCGACCTAGGGCTCGGCTCTGGGGTGAGCGCCTCGACGCACGGCAGCGTCATCGTAAGAGTAGGTATGTCTAGATTCCCCGCTCTCGGCTCTCGGCCTCGGCCACGCGCAGAGGGGGGCAGTCAGGGGCAAGGAGACCCGTCGGTCGTTAAGAGTAGGTATTCCTAGATTCCCGGATCCCAACATATATATAGAGAGAGAGAGTTCTTAGCCGTTGAAGCGCACGGCGGGACGCCAAGCTTCCAAAGAACAAGCCTTAAGCTTCAGCCTTGAGGATGAGCTTGAAGCTTCAGCCTTGAGGATGAGCTTGAGCTTAGTCCCGAAGCCTCAGCTTAGGATTCGGGCGAGAGTTGTTTAGGGGAGGTCCAGGGAGGCAGCGCCAACCACGACGACCAACGAAACACAGTTTTTTTGATGTGCAATGTTTGTTTGTATCCTGTCTGACTGTTCTGGTTGGTCTGGTTTGAGCTTCGTCCTGAAGCTTTAGTTTAGGATTCGGGCGAGAGTGTTTCAGGGGAGCTCCAGGGAGACAGCGCCAACCCCGACGACCACCGAAACACAGTTTTTTCATTGCAGTTGTTTTGCATTGTATTTGTTTGTTGCGTTGCAGTTTCTTGTGCATTGCAGTTTTTGTGTGCATCTGGTCTGGCTGGCCTGGTCTGGTTGGTTTTAGCTTCGTCTTAAAGCTTTAGCTTAGGATTCGGGCGACTTGTTTTTTGCATCGCAGTTTGTTGCATTCGATTTTTTTTGCATTGCAGTTTTTGCTCATCTGGTCTGGCTAGTCTGGTCTAGCTGGTTTGAGCTTCGTCTTGAAGCCTTAGCTTAACCATTTGTTTTGCAATGCAGTTTATTGTGCATTGCAGATTTCTTTGCATCTGGTCTGGCTTGCCTGGCCCGGCTGGTTAGAGCTTCGTCCTGAAGCCCTGGCTTAGGAGTCGGGCGTTTTTTTGGTTTTGATGTGTTTTCATTGCAGTTCTTGTTTTCATCTGGTCTGGCTGGACTGGTCTAGCTGGTTAGAGCTTAATCCTGAAGCCTTAGCTTAGAGTTCGGGCGATGGCTTTTGCATTGCATTTGTTTTGTTTTGCAGTTTTGTTTGTGCATTGCAGTTTCTTTTGCATCTGGCCTGGCTGGTCCGGTCTGGGTGGTTTGAGCTTCGTCTTGAAGTTTTAGCTTAGGATTCGGGCAAATTGTTATTTTGCATTGCATTCGTTGTTGTTTTGCGAATTTTGTTGCATTCCAGTTTCTCTTGCATTTCAGTTTTCTTTACATCTGGTCTGGCTGGTCTGGTCTGGCTGGTTTCAGCTTCGTCCTGAAGCCCTAGCTTAGGATTCTGGCGTTTTTTTGCATTGCAGTTTTTGCTGCATTGCAGTTCTTGTTTGCATCTGGTCTGGCTGGTCTGGTCGGTCTGGCTGGTCTGGCTGGTCTAGTTGGTCTGGTTGGTCTGGCTGGTCTGGTTGATCTGGTTGGTCTGGTTGGTCTGGCTGGTCTGGTTGGTTTGGTTGGATGGGCTGTTTGGTCCGGTTGGTCTGGCTGGTCTGGTCTGGTTGGTTGGTTTGGTCCGGTTGGTCTGGCTGGTCCGGTCTGGTCCGGCTGGACTGGTTGGTCTGGCTGGTTTGGTTGGTCTGGTCTGATCTGCCTGGCCTAATCGGCTGGTAGGGCTGGTCTGGTTGGTTGGTCTGGTTGGTCCGGCTGGTCTGCTTGGTCTGCCTGGTCTGGTTGGTCTGGTTGGTCTAGCTGGTCTGGTCGGTCTGCTTCGTCTGGTTGGTCTGGTTGGTTGTCCGGCTTGGTCTGGCGCGGTTGCTCCACTGGCTCTGGTTGGTTTGGTTTGTCCGATTGGTCTGACTCGTTCGGCCCACAGAGTGCTTCTTGATCTGGTCTCGGCTTGCAGGTCTCATTGGGGCGGGCGCGGAGAGTGAATTTTGCAGGATGACCTTGAGTGGAAGGAGGGGGAGGAGGAGGAGGAGGAGGAGGAGGAGGAGGAGGAGGAGGAGGAGGAGGAGGAGCACCGGCTCTGAGGATCCCAGGACCCGGCGACCGTTTCGGGAGAGCCGAATCCCTCAAAAAACGACTCCGTCGTCATCGTCGTCGTCGTCATCGTCCTGCTCCTTGCGTCGTCGCAGCTGGGGCTGGGACCGAAAGAGATGCTGCGTCAAGTCCGGCTGCGGCGGAAATGGAGGTGGGGTGGGAGGGCACATCAGGAGCCATATCAGTCTTTAGACCCCAAAGCAAAGTAAGGCGCTGGGGCATGCGAAATGTTTGCCTCGAGAAGCTTAGAATTTCAGGCGCCTTCCTACTTCAAGAAATGATACGCTTCCGCTGTGTTATGTATTTTCTGCGAGGGCCTGCGCCCAATCTGCTTTATCAGCCTGCCTATATTGATTTGTTTTGTTATGTTTTTTTTCTGCTTGCTTTTTCCGACTGACGGGGGTCAGGGGATGCGTATTTCGGGGTGGATACATCGACCTCCGATCGCCCATTGATCGCGCCGATAGGGGTCCGATATCCCCATGCCGGCCCAGGTTCACGGCATGTGTCATCTGCCTGTGCCAGCCCCCCCCCCCCCCCCCTGTCGTTACACCTCAGGCATACGGTATATGGGGAAAGGGGCGCACGCAGGGGAAGGCGGAGGGGCTTCTGAGAAACACCCTGCGTTTTCAAAGGCGCGGATCTTATCTACAGATGTAGAGCCCGCGCCTTCTAAGAAACGTACCTCAGGTATACGGTATATGGGGAAAGGGCGCACGCAGGGGAAGGCGGAGGGGCTTCTGAGAAACACCCTGCGCCTTCAAAGGCGCGGACCTTATCTGCAGATGTGGAGCCCGCGCCTTCTAAGAAACGTACTCCTTCTAAGAAGCCTTCCCCCCTCCCCCGTGCCCCCTCGCGCGCGCCGCCACGACGCGTGGCAGTTTTATCGCAAGGGGTGGATCGGCTCAGGGCTTCTGGGCTCCAGGGTCGAGGGCTTAGGGCGCACGCAGGGGAAGGCGGAGGAACCTTCCCCCCTCCCCCTACCCCCTTGCGCGCGCCGCCACGACGCGTGGCAGTTTTATCGCAAGGGGTGGATCGGCTCAGGGCTCCTGGGGTCGAGGTGTTCGGGCGTCGTCGGCACCCGGCGGCCCTGCCAGCCTCGGGACGGTCTCCGGCGGCGGCGCCTCGCCGGGGGCGCTCCGGGGACGTCCCGAACGGCCGCCCGAGGCCCGAGTTAAGTCCCGAAGCTTGTTTCAGGGCTCGGCTCAAGGGCTGAGCGCCTCGATCCCCGATCGCCCACGCATCGCCGACAGGGGCGCGATGGCCCACCCCGGCCGGGGAAGTGCGGTTCAGCCATCGTCGGGAGCCTCGAGACGGGGGTCTGTGCAGACGGGGGTCAGCCAGGGTGCCGGGTACTGCAGGATCCTGCGAAGACCCCCTCTGGCTGACCTGGGTTAGCGAGCCGCTCGTGGCCGCGAGGCGGCCGCGCCTATTGGCTGATTCGGGTTTGCGAAGACCTGCGCTGCAGTTTTTGTTTCTTGCTTTGCAGTTGTTGGTTTCCTGCTGACCCGGGTCTGGATTGACCCGGGTCAGAAGATCCCCGACATCGGGGGCCCGTCGCCAGTCTGTCGGCGATGTGTCACCGTTCCGGGTCGATGTTTCCCCTCCCGAGTCGGTCCCCCTCTTGTCATTCACCCGCAGTGGCCTTCGGGCTCCCCCTTGTTCATTCTTGCTGCCGTTGTTTCCTCTCCTCCGTCGGCGGCGGGGGCTGGCAGTGAGCGCCGCAGCGGGTTCCCGCAGGCTTTCTCTCGGCGGCGAGCGAGGGGGGAAGTGAAGAGGAGAAGGCCTTCTTAGGAGGCGGCGGGACTTTTCAGAAGCCCCTCGCGCCTTCTGAGAGGTTTTCTCTGTCTTCGTGGGAGGCTTAGAAACTTCTGATCAGGCCGGGGGAGTTCCGATCCTTCTGAGAAGGCCCGCCCCTTCTCATTTCCCCCCGGGCTCGCCGCCGATTTTCTTATTGCTTCTCAGTACGTGTGCCCAAAAACTTCCAGAAGCTCCCTCCCAGATCTCCCAGAGCTTCTTCAAGGTGTGCTGGAAGGCCTCTCCTGGCGGTCCGCTAATTTTTTGTGTTTTGGACCAGGCCATGAGCTAAACGGTGTTCTGGCGATCTCGTGGACCGGTGTCCAAGTGATTTTGTCTCGCAGCAAGGGCAGGAGAAAGGACAGAAGTGAGGAGGGCGATGACGAAACGAACACGAAAGACACTGTTTTTAGCTCGAGCCCTGCCTTGGACACCACAAGTTCCTTGTCCTTTCCTCCCTCGGCGGCGGCGGCGGCGGCGGCCGCCGAGGCCTTCGCCGAGGAGGCGCCGACGCTGCGGCGCGCCTTCGAGCAGGATTTCAAGAAGGCGGGGGGGCACTCGGGCAATGGGGGCGCCTCTCTCGGGCTGCACGGAAGGGTGGGGTAAGGGAAAAGGGGCGGGGAGGTACAACATCTACTGCCTGCAGCTGGTTTCCGCCCCGCCGCGGGGCCCATTCCTGGATACATGAGCGCCTCCCGGCGCCAGGAGGCCTCAGGAAAATCAGCCGCGTGAGCGGATTCTCGGCCCTGCCTTCTGCCATCCTACCCCTTCGCCCCCCCCCCCCCCCCCGATTCCCGCGCCGGGTGCGCACCTCTCCTGGGCCGCTGGGGCCCCGGGAGGATCGGGGGAGGGCCCAGCGTCGAGCAGAGGCAGGTCACGAGGCGGGTGCGGAGAGCGGGGGGAGGATCGCCAGGGGGGGAGGCGGGTGCCGAGGGGGAAGCGGGGCCCGAGGGTTTTCGCCGTTCTCGAGCTCTCGGGGCCCTCCGAGGGTCCCGGGGCTGTTAGCAAAACGAGTCAGGATGAGGATCTCGTCCTGGGGGGTCCGGGACGCCAAGAGGAGCAGGTGCCGATGTCGCTGCCGCTGCAGTCGAAACGAATGATACAGGACGGGCAATTTTTCCAAGGGCACCCTTTGCATCCTTGACCCCTCGGTCCATCCTCAACCCCTGTCGGTTGCCGGCCCCGTTCGCAGAGCCTCGACATGGGCGTACGAGGGGCTTGCCCCTTCACCGCGCATTCTTATTACAGCTGCAACGAGGGTTACGAGCAGCCCTAGATTTTGTGAGGGGTACCGTGATGTTCTTGGTCTTTGAGCTCTCCACCTCGGAATGGCCTTCGTTTGGAATGCCTCCATGGGGCCCTTGGTGCTCGGCGAAAGGGCCCGTTTTCTTGCCGGGCGTTCTCGTGCCCGTGTGTCGAGCCTGCCAGCCCCGCACGGCGAGCCTCGCCGTGGGCGTACGCGGGGCCTGCATCCCGCTCGAAGAGTCTCGACATGGGCTTGGCATCGCTCGGACGTGTGCATTTTTCCTTCGGCGAAGACCATCGAGAAGCATCCTTGATCACTTGGCGAAAAAGCCACGCATCCGAGCGATGCCCAGTGGGCGTACACGGGGCTCGCATCCTTGCCGCGCATCCTTTTACCAGTTGCGACACGTATCCCTAGCCCTATGATTGGTATCGCCTTGCCTAGCTGCCGATCTCAGAGACTCCCTCAGCTTCTGCGGGCACACCCCTGAGACTGTCCTCGCCTCTGGCTTGCCGATCTCAGGGACGATAGGGACAAGTTTGAGGCTGTCTATCCTTACAGTGGGGGCCCATGCCAAGAAGCACCCTGCTTGCCTCCATGGTGCCCTGGGTGTCTTGCCTGGGTTTCGACGGTTCTGCTACGGAAAGCGTGACGGGTCTCGGGGTTGGGCTTCTTCTGGAAGGCTCTTTGTGGTCGGGCTCCTGCTGCACGGTCAGTTCTCAGGGAGAACGAACAAGGACATAAGCATAACAATTCAGAGGTCCGCGCGGATTTCTTGGATCCGCGCCGGACCTCCCTCCCTGGCGCGCGGAGCGCGCCCGTGGCGGCGCCGGAGGCGCCGCCAGGGCGGTCCAGCGCCGATCCGAGAAATTCGCGCGGACCTTCGAGTTTTTGTGTTCCTGTCCTTTTTCGCTCCGCTAAGAACCGACCGTGCCGCTGCCGCTGCTGTACTGCCCACGCCGTGCTATGTCAGGCTGCGCGCTGATCTTCAACACCATGCTATGGCATGTAATGCTATACCCTGCTATGACATCCGACTGTGCGAACAGAGAGGAGATCTACGCCATGATGAGGGATGGGAGGGAGGGGAAGAACGTCAGATATGACGCGAGCGCACCTGGCTTGACTGCCCCCCTTCGCCCTCGCCACGGCCGGGGGTTTGCCTCGAGCTCCTGGACGGGACGCGCCCCTGGCTTGACTGCCCCCCTCCGCCCTCGCCACGGCCGCGGGTTTGCCTCGAGCTCCTGGACGGGACGCGCGCCCCCCCTCCCCCCTGCGGAGAGGCGGGGCCCCCCCCTCGGGCGCCGGGCGCGGCCTTCGCCGCGTGCCCCCGGCCCAGCTCCAGGGGAGCCTGGGGCGAAGGCGCTCGGCCACGCGCAGAGGGGGGCAGTCAGGTCAGAGGAGGGAAAGGTACCCATGCCTCTACCCTTCGCCCGTTTTCCCCTTTTTGGGGCCCCCTGGGAGGTTCTCGTCGCCACCGCTGGGTTCGCCTCAAAATCCTGGTCAGAGCGTGCCCCAGGAGAGGTCCGGGGAGTAGCGGTATCGGCACCTTCTGGTTCCTTCCCCAATTTCGGGGCAGCGGTGCTCGTCGGTCGTTCAGAGTGGGTATGTCGGGGGCGGCCAAGAGGGGGGTGATGACTAGGGGGGGATCTCATGGCCAGGGCCATGAGATCTTCCCAGGTTTCATGGCGCTTCTTCTTAGCAGATTACGTCCTGGGCCGCCCCCCTCTGGGCCGCGCACATGCCGCCGGCCATGGTTTGCGCCCTCCCCCTCTTGAATGCCCCCCTCTTGGCCGCCCCCGAGCTCGGCCACGCGCAGGGGGGGGGGGCATTCAGGGGCAGCGATGCTCGTCGGTCGTTCAAAGTGGGTATTCCGAGATTCCAGATCCCAGTCTGCTTCAGGCGCTTTCCTGCTTCAAGGATCGGTACGCTTTTGCTGTGTTCTGCCTGTTCTCTGGGAGGGCCTGGGCCCAATCTACTCAATCCGCCTGCCTACTTCATGTGTCTACCCTCTTCTTCCGACCGACGGGGGTAGGGGGGATGGGCATAGGGGGAACACGTCGACCCCCACTCGCCCACTGGTCGCCGATAGGGACCTGATGGCCCCATGCGGGCCCAGGAACGCGGGGATGCACTGTCGGGAGATTGTCGCCGATCTACCGGCGACGTATCGCCGATTCCAGGTCGATGAGTCTCCCTTTGCGCCAGTCCCCCATTATCGCTGCCCCTCAGTTACAAGGGGAGGGGCGTACGTAGGGGGAGGGGGGAGGGTTTCCGAGAAGCACCCTGCGTCTTAGAAGGCGCGGACCTTCTCTACCCAGACGTGCGACATCCTGGTTTCTCCAGTGCGGCGTCCCGGGAAGTCTCGACCATTTCCCTGGGGCCGGCTTTTCATCCTGCGTCGTTTTTGCATGGTCCAGGGGCCCAGCGAGGGCCTCCAGAGGCCGGAAACAGCGAAAAACCTCCGTTCTGTTTTTTTGTTCGTACGACGCGAGCATGTCTGGGTGTAGGTGTAGGGCCCGCGCCTTCTAAGAAGCGGCCTCCTTCTAAGAAGCCTTCCCCCCTCCCCCTACCCCCTTGTGCGCGCTGCCACGACGCGCTGCAGCGTAACCGTGAGGGGTGGATAGGCTCAGGGCTTCTAGGTTCCAGGGTCGAGGTTTTCGGGCATCGTCGGCTCCTGGCGGCTTTCCAGCCTCGGGATGGTCTCCAGCAGCTGCGCCTCGCCGAGGGCGCTCCGGGGACGTCCCGAACAGCCGCCCGAGGCCCGAGTTATGTCCCGAAGTCTGTTTCGGGGGCAAGGTGTGGTGGCTCAAGGGCTGAGCGCCTCGATCCCCGATCGCCCACTCATCGCCGAGAGGGGCCCGATGGCCCACCCCGGCCGGGAAAGTGCGGTTCCGTCATCGGGGGCCCGTCGGCGATGTCTCGCCGATTCCAGGCCGATGTTTCTCCCCCTGGGCCAGTCCCCACCCCCCTCTTGCCGTTCAGCCTCAGTGGCCTTCGGGCTCCTTGTCCATTCTTACTACTGTTTTCTTTCTCCTCTCCTCCGTCGTCGGCAGCGGCGGCGTATGTGTCGCCAATTCCAGGTCGATGCTTCCCTCCCTCCGGAGGTCTCCTGGGAGGCCTCCGGAGGCCCGGCGAGGGCCGCGCAGGCCTTCGAGGCCCTCCCCTCACAAGCGCCCGCGGGTGTGCACGGCACGGCTTGCCACGCGGAGGTTGGAGGAGGAAAGCCCCGGCCGTGCGACGCCGTGATTTTTTCAATGCGCGGGGGGGGGGGGGGGGGCGATCCCATTACAGTGGAAGCCCATGCCAAGAAGCACCCTGCTTGCCTCCAAGGGGGCCCTGGGTTTCGATGGTTTCGCCATGGGAAGCGTGACGCTCCCACACCACAAATCGATATGGACGTCCTGGGGTCTCAGGGTGTGCTTCCTTGTGGAAGGTTTCTTGTGGTCGAGCTCCTACTGTAGCATTGGAGGGGATGGGGCCAGAGCTCTGGATCATGTATGGCGGTGCGTACAACCTTCGCAGCTCTGGGGGTCACGAAGCCTCGGGAGATCATTATTGTTGTTCGCCGCCGGGAGCGCCCCCCCCCCCCCCCTCGCGAGTGGACGGGGGGTCCTCCTTGTGCAGTTCTAGGTTCGCCAGCCAGGGGCTGACACAGGTACGGCCGCGGCCACGGCCGCAGCGAAAGCAGTCTGTCAACATTTGCGCTGTCTCTCGCGTTCCTTCTGTCGAAGACGCCTACGGCGAATCACCGCCGCTCCCTGCCTTTTTGGAAGCGCCTGCGTGGCCGAAAGTTGGGTTTGAGCTTGGCCAAGCTATCGGGTCACGCGTTCCCCGAGTGGGTTTCGAAAGCCTTCGGGGAACACGGAGTCGGGCGAGCAATCGGACCAGGTGGTTTCCGAGCTTTCTTGGAGATTCCTGGGGATCTTTTGAAGGCCTCTTGGAAGGCCTCCTTGGGCTTCTTGGGGACCTCTGGGGGCTCTTTGAGGGCTTCTTTGGTCGTCTTAGGGCGTGCCTGGCCCATCTGACCCCGTCGGAAGCCGTCTATGAGGCCTCTCGGCTCTCGGAGCCGCCTTCGGGCCCTCATGGGACGTTTCAGAGCCGTCGTCGAGGCAATCTAGGCGTCTTGGAGGCCTCTTCGGTCGTCTTGGGGCCTTCTTGGGGCCGCCTTGGGGGCTTCTTGGGCTATCATGGGGCCAGCTTGGAGGCCTCTTGGGCGCTCTTGGGTCGATGTTGGGGGCCGCTTGGGCCGTGTTGGGCCGTCGGAGAGCTGAAAAGGAGCAAAAGCCAAAGTCCTTCAAACACCTATGATCTTGACCTTGTCGGGCCTTCCTGGAGGACGTCTTGGAGAGCTCTTGGGCCGTCTTGGAGGCTTCTTGTGGGCCTTTCGGCCAGTCTTAGGCCATCTTGAGGCCATCGTGGGCCGTCTTGTGTGCATCTTGGGGCCATCTTGGCCGACTTGGAGGCCATCTTGGCCGTCTTGGTGGCATCTTGGAGGCCATCTTGGCAGTCTTGGAAGCCATCTGGGGCCTCTTGGGCCGTCTTGGGGCCTTCTTGGGGCCGTCTTGGGGGCCTCTAGGGCCGTCCTGGGGCCGTCTTGGAGGCTTCTTGGGCACTCTTGAAGCGATCTTGATGGCCTCTTTGGCAGTCTTGGGCCGTCGGAAGGCCGAAAAGAAGCAAAAGCCAACATCCGTCAAAAACCTAAGGAAAATTAATGATTTTGACATCTTCGGGCCGTCATTGAGGACCCTGGAGGACCTCTTCGGGAGGCCTCTGGAGCAGTCTTGGACCGTCTTAGGTGTTTCTTGTGCGAACTTGAAGGCATCCAGGACTCTCTGAGGCCGTCTTCGAGGCCATCTTGGACCATCTTGGGAAATCTTGGAGGCCATCTTGGGCCATCTTGGAGGCCATCTTGGAGCCGTCTGGAGCCGAAACGCCCTTTGCCACCACCTGTTGCGCGCCCTCCCGGGTGGTTGGCGGGACGGGCCGCAGGCCCAGGGGGAGTTTTTCGGGAAAAGAACCAAAAACCGAAAGTGTCTAGCACGCCGGGCACCCCTGTGGCAAGCACACACACAGGGGGCGGCGGATCTGCTGGCCTTCGGTCCATCCCGCCACCGCGCCCGGGTGGTAGGCCAGTGGCCTCTGCCCGTGTAGGTGGAGCTCCTGCGCGAGGCGCCACAGGGAGCCGCGGGAGACACGCCGGGGGCCCGGGGAGATTCAGGACCTGGGGGCCCGGGCCCCTCCTCGTCTTCGTCCTCCTCCTCCTCCTCCTCCTCCTCCTCCTCCTCCTCCTCCTGCCTCCTCCTGCCTCCTCCTGCCTCCTTCTGCCTCCTCCTCCCTCCTCCCACCTCCCTCCTCCCCCCTCCCTCCTCCTCCTCCTCCTCCTCCCCTCCTCCTCCTCCTTCTCCTCCTCCTCCTTCCTCCTCCTCCTCCTCCTCCCTCCTCCTCCTCCTCCTCCTCCTCCTCCTCCTCCTCCTCCCTCCTCCTCCTCCTCCTCCTCCTCCTCCTCCTCCTCCCTCCTCCTCCTCCTCCTCCTGCCTCCTCCTCCTGCTCCTGCCTCCCTCCCTCCTCCTCCTCCCTCCTCCCTCCTCCCTCCCTCCTCCCTCCTCCCCCTCCTCCTCCTCCTTCCTCCTCCCTCCTCCCTCCCTCCTCCTCCTCCTCCTCTCCTCCTCCTCCTCCTCCTCCTCCTCCTCCTCCCCTCCTCCTCCTCCTCCCTCCTCCTCCTCCTCCTCCTCCTCCTCCTCCTCCTCCTCCTCCTCCTCCTCCTCCTCCTCCTCCTTCTCCCTCCCCCCTCCTCTTCCTCAGGCCGCAGAGGACCTGAGGACACTCCAGCCCCTGCCGCGTGCCGACAGAGGTGGATCCGCCCCGCCCACGGCAGACGGGGCCCCCCAGGCGGACGCGGGGGCGGAGCTGGAGGTGAAGTTCGAGACCTTCAGCGCCGAGGTGTGGGGCACGGACGCCTCGGCGAGCACGGACCAGGCGGGGGGCGGGGCGCGGGCGCGGGCGCCCCCCTTCGGCAGTCCTCTCGTCGTTGAAGGAGGGAGAGGGATCAGGGGCAACGATGGGGGGGATAATTAGCACAGGGGGGAACGCATCGACCCCCAATCGCCCATTGATCGCCGACAGGGGCCCGATAGCCCCAACCTGCCCAGGAAGGCGCGGACTCACGATCGGGGGCCTATCTCCGATCTATCGGCGATGTATCGCCGATTCCACGTTATCCCCGCTTATCGTTGCCCCTCAAGGTACCCTGAGGCCCTGGTGTCACAGTTTTCCGAGCTGGGCGCGGTCGCCCGGCTTCGGGCCCCATGACCAGGAGAGGGATCCGGCTCGACGAGTGGCGACGAAGGATGGGTTTTGGGGCTGTGGTCGTGCTTTTGAGCTATGTTTGAATTGTCTCGCGCCGTCAGATCTCAGGGAGTGGGGAGGTAGGAGAGAGAGAGAGAGAGAATGACGAAGGAGGGAGGAGGACGGGTAGGGCAGAGGTGGAGGAGGAGGACGCAGGAGGAGGAGGAGAGGAGGAGGAGGAGGAGTACGAGGATGAGGGAGGGGGATGGAGAAGGATCCCCTCTATCACTGCTCCCTCTTTCTAATCATCTCCTCCTTCACCCGATCGGCAGCCAACTCGGACCCATACGACACCCATGCGGGCCCCACCTCCACCATCCTTGTCAACAAACTCTGCAACATACGTTTTGCCTCCAATTCTGAAGCATGCGCGGGCTCCCCGCGACCATTTTGCAGTGGTTTTTGAAAGGGAGAGTGGGGGGCCGGCATAGTGTTTGCTGCGCACAGTCCAACAATACCCCCACCACCCCTTGCAAAAACAAAGGGCATGTCGCACCAACATTCGGATCCTGCGCGGACGCCCCGCGATCACTTCGCAGTGGTTTTTGACAAGGACTGCGGGGGGGCGGCATACTGCCTGCTGCGTGAAATGCCAACACCCCGTATCCCTGCTCACTCCTTCCCCCGACCCTTTCCCCAGGGCCAGTTTGTCTAGTTTTGTATCTCAGGCCGTTTCATGACGGCCCCGAGGCTCGGCGAGGGCCCCCCGAGGCCGAAAACGGCCAACCCCCCCGACTGAACTTGTTCACGGCGCGAGAATGTCTGAGGCGTCTCTTCGTCTCGGATATGCGCCAGGCCATCCTAGCGGCGCCTCAGGCGCCGCTCCTGGCGGGCTCCGCGCGCCAGGGAGGGAGGTCCAGCGCAGATCTAAGAAATCCGCGCGGACATCCGAAAGTTTTTGATCATGCATGCACATGATACTGCTCTACAGCCCCCCCCTCCCTGTGGTGACTTCCGGGCGGGGACACAGCAGGGATCAATCGTTCCATAGCGTCTCGGAACGCTCTCACAGCGTTCAGGAACGACAGCGTTCAGGAACGATCTGTGAAGGCCGCGGCGCCCAACATATTCTCCAGAATCGCCAGATCTCAGAGATCCCCGATATATCTTTGTCGGATTTTGTCGCTGTTCTGCGTCTCAGATTGCGAAGGCCTTGCGGCCTGTGCCGCCGACCCTGTATGCGGGGAGGACAGGCAGATGGAATAGGCGGACGAGGAGGAGAGGGGGGAGGGGAGGTCCTTTTGGGAGCCGCCTGGGGGCCTCTTGGGTCTCCAGGAGCCTCTGTGGGGCCTCTTGGGAGCCTCTTGGGGACCTCTAGGGGCCTCGGGAGAGCCTCCTGCGTCTGAGATGCTTGCGCGACGCGAGCATGTCTGGGCTCCCTCCTCTGGCCACGGCGCGAGAGCGCCTCCGCGGCAGGTCCTGGTGTCCCTCGGGCGCGGCGCCGAGAGCTTGGAGGGGATGACCACCAACTCGATGAGCGGGGAGTTCTTCTTCCAGAGCCGGGACGGTCGTCCGGGCGCGGGAGTCGGGCGGGTGGTGACGGGGGGGTGGCCTTGCCTGGGGGGTGGAGGAAAGGGCCCCCCAGGGGCCCTCCTCTTTACCTCCCACTCGGGCCGACCCCCCATCACCACCCGCCCGAGGGAGGCGGTGGCAGACCCCGAGATTTTGTGGCGTGCAGTTCTGTGGGGTTGGGCGTTTTCGCCCAGCTTCGGGCCCCCGAGCCCTCGCAGATCGATCCAGCTCGGAGGAGGGTGCAGAAAGACGGGGCCCGGGGCCCTGCTCTTGATGTGCTTGGCAATGTCTGACGTCTCTCGCGCCGTCGGATCTCAGGATTTGGGTGGCTGTCCGTAGTCGGTGGGTAGCGCTGCCTCCTTCTGCCAAGGAGGCAGCCGAAAAGAGACATGCGGCGGGGCGCGCCTCACAGCTGAAGGAGAGAGCGCCCTGCCATGGCGTTCGGCGCTGCAAATACACAGCACGGGTGGCTGCGCAGCCAGGGCGGTCGTCCAATCATGGGAGGAGGGAGGAGGGAGAGGAGGGGTAGAACTCATGAAGTAGGGGTAGGGGTGGAGGGGGGGCGATTTGGGACAACGGAAGTTGGCCTTCTGGGGGCCCCCATCGTCGCCAAGGCTGGACGCAGCTCGGACACATGGTGCGTCTGGACCCTTGGAGGGATCCAGGGCCCGATTTTGAGTGTTGCCGTTGTCTCAAGCGTTTCTTAGAAACGATTCCAGCCTAACGCGCTGTTGAAAGTATCTCGTGTCGGCACGCTCCTGACCAGCCTGGCCTTGGTCAGCCCAGCCACAGAGGCTCGGCTGAGGCGTGTTCTGTTGAGTGCTGAGCTTGTATTGCTGCTGTCGTTGTCTCTCCGCCGCCTTACGTCACTGTGTTACGACATTCGCGTGTTGTTCCACTATGCAGTCCGTCGAAATATTCTGTGTTCGCAATTTTTGCTTTTGCTCTAGCGGAGCAAGCACGGAGCAGGTCTTGATTCGATTTGTTCGCCCTTCACGTTTGCGAGCGGAACGTGTATCGGTGGATTGTGCCTTGCCCTCCTTTTGCCTCGTCTCAAGGGCTGCCAAAACCACCCCGATCCTTACATTTCGCGTCCACTGAGCAGTACTGGGCGTTTGCTAAACAGCCCTGTCCTGCTCGATTCCTTCTATCCGCGGCGCGTTTCTAAAAGGGCATCCTTTTTCGTGGTGCTTACAGTCGAAGCCAATCATAAGGATGGATCGTGTTCCCAAGGATACCCTTGCGTCCTTGCCCATCCTTGGCCACTTTCGACTGCCAGCCCCGCTCGACCAGCCTCGACATGGGTTGTGCAAGGGGCTTGCATCCTTCCGCGCATACTTACTATCAGTGCGGATCGAATCTTATTACGAAGGCCTTACGGCCAGTGCCGCCGACCCTGAATGGCGACGCGACGACGACGACGGCGACGGCGACGACGACGACGACGAGCGCTCTCGGGTGCCTCTTGGGGGTACTTTGGGGGCCTCTTGGGAGGCTCTTGGGGGCCGCCTGGGAACCTCGTGGGGGTGGGCGTGCAAGGGAATCGCCTGCGGACTATTTTTTGATTTTGTTTGACCATTGCGAATTTGTTGTTGCGTATTTTTTATGTTTCGCCGAAGATCCCCGCAGCATGTTTTGCGTATGTTTGTACGTTTCGTCGAAGATCCCCCTGTAGGGGGCTCTGTATCCTCACCGCGCACCCTTTTACCATCCGTGCGCACCGCACCCCATTCCGAGGGCGGCCCCTCTGCCACGCCTGGCCTCCGCCTCGCCCCACAGACACAACGGGGGCCGGCGGGCGGCCTGCACGGGCCCTTCGAGCGGACCGCTGCGGCGCGGCCCGTCGGCGCGCCGCGGCCGCGGGCACAGCTGGCCGACGGGGGTTTCCGGGGCATCAGAGATCCCGAGGCACCTCGGCCCCTTCCCTTGGCATCGCTCGGACGTGTGCATTTTTCCTTCGGCGGGGACAACCTAGGAGCATCCTTGATCATCTGGCGAGACATCCACGCACGAAGCTGAAAAAGGCACAGGGAATGGACGTCCGAGCGATGGCCAGCTCCTCGGATGGTCGCCTCGGGGTCCTTTCCTTCGGTCAGCCTGGAACAACTCCCGGCCCCAAAATCACAACGCATTCGTGGACTAGCTGACGGCCACGGTCTGTCTGGATTCCCCTGAGCACATGGGTGGTTTAGTCTAACACTTTTGTAGAACACGTGTCCTCAATGTTGTTGCCCCTCTTAACTCAGGTCCCCTCCCAAAGTATTTGGAGTACTTGTATTGCTTATCATTCCTTGGTACCACCTAGCGTATTTGTTCGGCTCTAGCTCGTCTCCAAATCTACTCCAGTTTGACTTAACTAAGGTAAGTGACTTCGACTGGGGTTCGGCTCGCGTCGACGGACCTTCGACGCAGCATCGACGCACGAGTGGAGCGAGTGGAACGAGCCTCTAACCTTCCCACTGCCAGGGCCCCCTCTTCACCCTGTTGACCCTGGGCTCCCGAGGCCCGAAGCCGGCCTCCCGGAGCCAGGAACGAGCAGAACATGTCCGTCTCTAGGGGGCCACAGGCGAACCCTACCCCTACCCCCCACGATTTCTGAGGGGGAGGGTGGGGTTCACTTCGCTGGGGAGCTCCCGAGCGAAGTGAACCCCACCCTCCCCCTCAGAAATCGTGGGGGGTAGGGGTAGGGTTCGCCTGTGGCCCCCGTTGTCTCCCCACCTGCTCGAGCCGCCGGCTGTCTGGGCCCCGCCTGCCTCTCTCTCTCTGGAGCGCAGGGGGGCGGCGCACGCCCGTCCCCAGACGCCCCCAGGTCGCTTCTTCGTGAAGACCATCTCGGAGCCGGAAGGTCGCCTCTCGTCTGTCGTTCCTCGCGCGTCGCCCGCTCGCTCGCTCGCGCTTTTTTTCCTTCTCGCCCCCAGACGTCTGGCGTCGTTGTCTTTTCAAAGCATGCCTTTTCAAAGCATGCGTTTCCCCGCGCCTGGTGTAGCCAGGGTCTGTGTGTGCCATCTGGGACACTGAAAAAGTATCCGGGTGGAAACCCCCGGGGCCCGCGTGCCCAAACAGTGGCGCTGTCGGAGGCATGGGTCCCTCGCCGCCTCCTCGTCCCCCTCCTCGTCAACCTTGTGCAGACAGTGACTGTGCAGGCGTGCAGGGTGACTTGGCATCGCTCGGACGTGTGCATTTTTCCTTCGGCGAGGACCATTGAGGACCATCCTTGATCATTTGGCGGAAAAACCACGCACGAAACCGAGAAAAACACAGGGAATGGACGGCCGAGCGATCGCGAGGTGAAGTCTGTCAGCCAGCACGAGCGGGACGTGTGCAGTCGCCGCCGCAGGCGGGCAGCGTGAAGAGACTGGCAGCGACAGTGGAGATTCACCGGCCTCGGCGCTCTGCCGTGGGCGTGAGCTCGAGCAGGCTCGAGCGGCTCCCTCCCTCGCGTCCCTCCTCTTACCAGCCTCGGACGTATCCCTATCCCTAAGATTGACACGCCAGAAGGCGATGACAATCTTAGGGATCCGCCCTCAAAAGATAAGGGAATCCCTGACATTGGCATCGTGATGAGGAGGTGCCCAGCAGAAGGGGATGTGTTCCATGCTGGTAATCCTCTGCCCCCCCCCCCGCCCCTCCGATGCTGAGAGTCAGACGGGGGTCCCCGCTCGGGGTCCTCGAGCGCGACACCCTGCGGCGGGGCCCCGCAGACGTCCGGCTTCCCTCGCCGTGCTCGCCTGGCGCTCTCGAGCCCGCGCCCTTCCTCCTCCTCCTCCTCCTCCTCCTCCTCCTCCTCCTCCTCCTCCTCCTCCTCCTCCTCCTCCTCCTCCCCCTCCTCGTCCTCCTCGTCCTCCTCCTCCTCCTCCTCCTCCTCCTCCTCCTCCTCCTCCTCCTCCTCCTCCCCCTGACCCCCCTCCTCAATCCCCCCTCCTCCTCGTCCTCCTCCTTCTCCTCCTCCTCCTCCACCTCCTCGTCAGTGCGAGTGTCAGCGTTCCTTTCTTGTTGGGGCTCGCCAGGACTCGAATGCAGATGGCAGCGGCATGCGAGCACAGCAAGTGCAGGCTCGACGCACTTCTGCGTGGGATGCAGTGCGGCAGGCATGTAAACACATGCGCACGGCGATCTCTCCACAACACCCCTGCATTGGATGCCTGCTGCTCCCGCCGCCGGGAGGGGGCGGACAAATTGTGCCCCCCTCCCTTGAACGAAAGACCGCAAATAAGAGGGCCCGTCCTCGGTCTCAGCCCCACCCCTGGGAACAGATCTCAGGACCAGGTGTATCTGTAGCGCTGGCGGAAAACATCCTTCTCGACTGACCAGGCCGATACGCATCGACATCGAGCACCGAACGCTGCATTCAGCGAACTCGCATGCCTATGCAATGCTTTGCCGACGGCTCTCGGATTCAGTCCTCTCCTATACTTCAGTTTGAAATGGAACTTTCTTGCGGACACTACCTCTCTGTGGCGGGTTTCCTTTTGCATGGCGTTCCCGACTCTAGTCAAATGTTTGTTGACGGAGCTGATGTTGTATCCTCTCTCCCGCAGGCGCTCTCGTAAGACAGCCCAGTGCGTTTCCCGGCTGGCCTGATTACGTGTCCTTCTGGCGATACGCGTGGATTCACCCACAAACAAGCCTTGAAAAGCACACCTGGAGGATGATCTGAGGTCGTAGGGGGGTGCAGATGCAGACTCAGCTCCTCCCTGTGGAGGTCGAGGCACATGCTACCCAGCTCGTCTGTCTGGATGTTCAGATCCAGGAAAGTCGCCACGTCCCTGCCTGTCCGGAGCCCTCCTGCCCTCTCAGGACGCCCTTGTCTTCCCTATGGCGCACGCCGCCCCCTTCTGCCTTCTTAGAATCAGGAGAGGAAAAAACACACAGACACAATTCATCGGCGATTCCCAGGAACATATGGGAAACTATGGGAAGTGGGGGGAAGGCAAAAACCCAGAGAATATGGGAACATATGGGGGATATTTTCATGTGTGTGCATTTGTTTGTGTGTCCCAGTTTTCCCCTTCATAGCAGGCCGCCCCCCCCGCCGCGCCCGTCCCTCTGCGGGCTGACCCGCCCCTGGGGGGCCGATCCTCGGCTCCCTCTCCGCCGGGGCTCCGGGGGCCAGGAGCGTCGGCCCTCGGCCGCCCCCCCGTCAGCACCGCCGCCGAGCCGCCCCGCCCAGGAGCGCGCCTGCTTCAGGAGGGGAAACAAAAAAAAACACAGACACAACTCATCGTCGATTCTCCAGAAAAGATGGGAAAATATGGGAAGTGGGGGGGAAGACAAAAACTCAGAAAATATGAGAAACTCTAAGGAATTCTTTATTTGTGTGTATTTATTTGTGTGTCCTGGGGCTCCTTCATTGCTGGCCTGCCGAGTTCCGCCGACTCGAGCTCCCCCCCGAGTCGGTTGCCGATCTCCGCCGACCCGATGCAGTTCGATCACCGGTCCGACTTCTCGACTCGAGTCTAGAGGCTCTCCTGCCCCCCCTCCCTCCTCCACTGAGCCAGTCCTGTGGCGCCGGCGAGGAGCAAGGCACGAATCTGAAGCGTCCGGCCCCTCTGTAGCCTGTGCACCACTGCTGCCGCCACGCGAGATCTGCCCAAGGCAGGACGCGGGAGCACGAGGTGCACGTGCTGCAATACTGACGGTGAACTACCCTGAGCCGTTCCCCTCCCCACCGCCCCCCCCCCCTGACGGGGGCCGCACCGCCGGTGCCCCGAGGGGCGCCGCCTCCGCCGCAGGCGACCTCCTGAGGCAGATGGCCCCAGCCTACCGCGCGCACATGCGCGGGCGCCCCAGCCGCACAGGCGACGGCACAAGCCTAAAAACTCTGAGCTCCGCGCGGATCTCTCGGATCGGCGCCAGGGCCTCCTGGCGGCGCCTCCCGGCGCCGCCTCCAGCGCGCTCCGCGCGCCAAGGCAGCGCCGATGCGGGAAGTCCGCGGGAACCTCAGAGTTTTCATGCTTCTGGCATTGCCGGCTCCCCCACCAGCAGCTTGGCGGCCTCCAGGGGCGCCGGCGGCGACGTGTCGAGTGAGCGCGCAGGTGCCCCGATCTGGTTGTTCCAACCCGGTGTTCGGCTTCTGCAGGAGGCATATCGGGTAGGAAGTCGGCTTGTCAGCAGGTGCTCCATGGAGATGTCTCATCCTCCCGTGCGGGGATCATTTCGACTCCTACGATTCGACTCCGATTCGATTTCGAAGAACTCTGATTCCGACTCGATTCGACTTGGGATTCCGGTGTGGATTCCGATTTCGCAATGGAGGTTTTATTAAGTTTCTGATTTCCGCCGATTCGTACATCCTTCTGATTTGGCTGCCGATTTCCACTGATCCGATTAATTTCGATCGCCAATCGGGCTTGTCGATTCGATTCTGGGCTCTCTTGCCCAGTGGCCCCAGGGACCCGCAGGAGCTCTGGAGCACATCAGGGCCCTCAAAGATCGACGCAGGATGTGCCCCAGGATTTCTGTTGGCAAGATTTCTGATCGTGATGCCTGTCTCACAGTCAAGTCGCTGAAATAAGTACCACTTCGGGCTCAGGAGTCGCTCTGATTTTCGGGCCGCTCCGCAGATTTGTGTAGTGGAACCCGTTTGTGGTCTGGGCCCACCCTTCATTCCTCAGCATGCATACCTTCTTGGTAGCGCGAGGACCGTAGAGTCAAAGCCAGCCTCGAGGGCGAGGCTCTGGAGCAAGGGGGCCTTGCATCCCCCTCGACTCTGGGCATCCTCTGCAGGTCTTCCTCTGCTTCCTCGGCCCTCAGGGCGGTGCGCTGGCATCCCGGCTTGCTGCAGGTGCCTCGCATCTGCGTGTGCAGTCATCGTGGCTGAATTTGGCTTGATTCGTGTTTCCCGAAGAACTGGCCGTTTTCGGGATCCTTGCGCAGTTTCGGACCCTCGTCGACCAAACAAAACATCGGTAGGGCGGACACAAATGAGCCGGCGCGCCCAATCGGGGTCCTTCTCTTCCACGGTAATTTAAAATAGTCTGAGCAATGCTAAGCAGCGCAATGGAAAGCATTGCTTGGCATTGCTTGGAATCGTTGCTAGGCATTGCGTGGCATCGCTTGGAATTACTCGGTATTGCTCGGCATCGGCATTGTTCTGCTTGCCATTGCTAGCCGTTGCCTTGCACTGCTTGGTGCACACTGCTCGGCACTGCACGGGCAATTCCGAGGGAACGCCGAGGAGCGCCGCTGACGCAGGGCCCCGCACCCACTGATATCTCTCGCCGTTCAAGCCCGACTCGAATCTCCTGGGCTTGGCATCGCTCGGACGTGTGCATTTTTCCTTCGGCGAGGACCATCGAGGAGCATCCTTGATCATTTGGCGGAAAAACCACGCACGAAACCGACAAAAAACACAGGGAATGGACGTCCGAGCGATGACCAGTGGGCAGAGCTCAACTGGGGAACGCTCTGTGGAGAAGGCGTCGAGCGGACTCTAGGTGGGGCACGCCTCTAAATCTCGAAGAAGAAGAAGGAAAAACGCCATAAACATAAATTGTTGGCGCTCCGTGCGGATCGCTTGGATCCGCGCTGGGCCTCCTAAACCATTGCCTCGAAGAAGAAAAACGGCATGAGCATAAACTTGTGGCGCTCCGCGCGGGTTTCTTGGATCGGCGCCTGGGCCCCCCCGGCGGCGCCTCCTGCTCCGCGCGCCAGGGAGGGGGGGGTCCGGCGCAGACCTGAGAAACCCGCGCGGGGCGCCCACAGTTTGTGTTTCTAGCGCTTCTGAGTCTTCTGCGGACCGGGGTCGAGCGGGCTCTGGGTGGGGCACGCCTCTAAACCATTGACACAGCTGCTGGAGCGAAGGATTGAAAAACAAAAAAACAAACAAAAAAAACAAAACAAACAAAAAAAACCCTCGAAGGATTGCAATCCTTCGTTCTGGGCGGGGCACGCCTCCAAACCACTGACACGGCTGCCGGAGGCCCTGGCTGCCCACGCCGCGGCGTCGGAGGCCCGGGGGCGCGGGGGCTGTCCGGCCAGCGTCCCCGCAGCATGCTAATGCCATGTGTGCGTCGCCCCCACTGGGGCGACGCGCGCGCCGAGGAATCTTCGAGTGTAAGCTTAATTCCTGGCGGGCGCGTTCTGGCCATGCCGCTCGGGGAACGAGATGCTGCAAGATGGATGTGCTGTATGTGCGGGTCGGGCGAAAGGGGGGGATTGGGAAAGGGGGGGTGACGAAGCTTGCTGCATGCAGCTGGTTTCGGCCTTACCGAGGGGCCCATTCCTCGAGACGTAGCTCCATCCGGCGCCGGGAGGCACCGGGAAAATCAGCTACGTGAGCTGATTCTCAAACCCCCCCTTTGCTATCCCCTTCTTTCGCCCGACCCGAGCCCCCACAGGGGCGACGCGCGCGCCGAGAAATCTTCGAGTGTGAGCTTCCTGGCGGGCGCTTTCTGGCCATGCCGCTCGGGGAACGATATGCTACAAGATGGATGTACTGTATGGTCGGGTCGGACGCACGTCTCCGAGGAGGACACGTAATTAGTACTAGTGTGTCTTTCTGCGTCCCATCCAGCCCAGGCTCCCCGCCGCCATTTGTTGATCCGCAGGCCCCGCGTGCTCGTTGCAGTCCCTGCGCTTCTTCCCTTGCCCCGCCTCAGGCGCGCCAAGGCTCAGAAGTCGAGTAGGGCTTTCGACTACAGATTGTAAAGCCCGCCGATCCTTGGACGAGGTCCGACACGGGCAAGGCAAGGCCTCCCAGGGCTCCCAGCTAAGATATTGAAAAATTACAATTGGAAATTCACCAACACGCGCTCCCAGCTAAGATTCTGAAGAACGGCAGTTGGAAATTGACAAACAAGCGTTCCCAGCTAAGATTTTGAAAAACGACAGTTGTAAATTGACCAACAAGCGCCCCCAGCTAAGATTTTGAAAAACGACCGTTGGAAATTGACCAACAAGCGTTCCCAGCTAAGATTTTGAAAAACGACCGTTGGGAATTGACCAATAGGCGCTCCCAGCTAAGATTTTGAAAAACGATGGCGGAAACGGGCCCAACAAACGTTCCTAGCTAAGAGTTTGAAGCTTGGGCCGGCACAGAAACGGAAAGAGCGCTTCAGAAACAGAAACCGAAATTACTCACACCACCGTTCGTACTGGGAGCCTTGGCGTTGAGTGCTTGTTACTGGGGGCCCTTTCGGAACCCCCTCTTCCTCCTCCTCCTCCTCCTCCTCCTCCTCCTCCTCCTCTTCCTCCTCCCCCTCCTCCCCCCTCCTCCTCCTCCTCCTCCTCCTCCTCCTCCTCCTCCTCCTCCTCCTCCTCCCCCTCCGCCTCCCCCCCTCCTCCTCCTCCTCCTCCTCCCCCTCCTCCTCCTCCTCCTCCCCCTCCTCCTCCTCCTCCCCCTCCTCCCCTCCTCCTCTCTCCTCCTCCCCTCCTCCTCCTCCTCCTCCTCCTCCTCCCCCTCCGTGGTGAGCAGGATCCGGACCATTTGACAACATAAGCCTAACAGGGTTCCCATCGGCGTGTGTGTGTGTGTGCGTGTGTGTGTGCGTGCGTGCGTGCGTGTGCGTGTGTTGTGTGTGTGTGTGTGTGTGTGTGTGTGTGTGTGTGTGTGTGTGTCTGTGTGCGTGTGTGCGGTGTGCGTGTGTGTGTGTGTATATGTGTGTGTGTGCGTGCGTGCGTGCGTGCGTGCGTGCGTGCGTGCGTGCGTGTGTGTGTGTGTATGTGTGTGTGCGTGTGTGTGCGTGTGTGTGTGTTTGCGTGTCTGTGTGTGTGTAAGTTCGTGCATGTGCTTGTGTATGTGTATGTGTATGTGTATGTGGGCGCGCATGTGTGCGTGTGCGTGTCGTCGTCGTCGTCGCCCCCTCTCCCTTTCCCTCCCCTCGCCTCTCCTCCCTCCTGCTGCTGCTGCTTCTCCCCCTCTCCCTCCATCTGCTGATCTCTGCTCCTCCTACTCTCGTTCCCCATGTTACTCTTCTCCCTCTCTCCCCCCCCCCCTCTCCCTCGCTCCTGCTGCTGCTGGTTCTCCCCCTCCCCCCCCCGTGCCGCTGCTGCTGCTGCTGCTGCTGCTCCTCTCCCATCTCCCTCGCCCTCTGATGATGATGGCGATGACGCTGACGATGTTGCTGATGATGATCCTGATATGTAATAACGACGACGATGACGATGTCGATGTCGATGACGATTACGAGGGCGACCAAATTTTGTCCGCGCGGGCTCGGCCAGGGCTCAAATTTGGCGCGCGCGGGCAGAGCGCTCTTGGAGCGCTCTTGGACGCTCTTGGGCCTCTCTTGGGCCCTCTTGGGCCATCTTGGAGCTATCGTGAGGCCTCGAATGGCCATCGGAAGCGAAAAGGCGAGGAGGCAAACATCATTGGTTTTCTTTCGGTTGTTAAAGGGTTTGGGCCTCTTGGAGGCCTCCTTGGAGGTCTCGGTGACCTCTTGGAGCCGTCTCGGAGCGTTTTTGGGGCCTCTTGGAGCATATTGGGAGCCATCGTGAGGCATGTTGCGCTATCTTGAGCCATCTCGGGGGCCATCTTGGGCTCTCCGAGGCGCTCTTGGAGCCGTCTTGGGCCATATTGAAGCGTTCTTGAGAAGTTGTTGGAACAACCATTAGCTTTTTTGATTGTATTTCGGACTGCCAGGGAGCTCTTCGAAATTATGTTTACCGGGACTCCAAGCGTCAGTTTTTTCTACGTTTTTTCACATACTCTCAAAGGGGGGATCTCGAGATCCCCCCTTTGAGAGTATATGAAACAATACTGTTTTGTTGCAGTTTTTAGAGTTTTTCGGAGGCCTCGTTGGGGCTGCCTGAGGGCAGTTGCTTTCACATTGACAAGGATG